CTACGTCTACATACAGTTTTAGGACTACTAGTGGCAATTGAATGGTTAAGAGATAGGTGCTTAATGCCAGATACATCAGTGATAATAAATGATTCCTCAAATGTTGTTTCAGCAATAGCACGAGCCTGCTCTGGCGAAGATGATGGGATACGAACTGACGTTTCTTTCTGCTCAATAATAAAATACTGATAAAAAGTGAAGTTACAAAATACCTCATTATGCAAAGAAGGTGACCTTGAATTGTTGACACGTCTTGTGAGACATAAAGCAGTGAGTAGTCTTTCCTTATTAGTTTTAGTAGGTTTATCTATTAATAATCAAAACTATATATCGCAGTATACACTCTTAAGTACTTTTTCGTATCTTTCCTGGTTTGCTTTCTGCCTTGGGCTTCTTAGAATCAGCTCCCTTCCTCTTATTTACCATTTTCGAGATCACTAGATCAGCTGAACAGTCCCCGGCTAGAGCTAGTTAGCTAGCTAGCCTATCGCATGACGTCATAATTTGTAATAATAATCTTTTTAAATCCAACAAGCGTAACAGGGTAAAAAATATTCCTATAATTAATTTCACCACCTTGCAAGTACAACTTGGTCATTATTAAGACTTATAAAGGTTCTCTCTACCTTATAATGCTTCTAGAGAAGTCTTTAGACAGTATCTATATGCTCTCTTGCTGTTAGAAAGCTCTTAACTTTGTCCCATGTGTAAGCCGCCATTTTGTTTGCCGTGACCACACCCACTCACGTAAAGGAGCGTGGGCGGGTGGTTGCTAAGGCTTGTTATTTCTTCAATACAACCATAGATAACTACCCGTAAACGGGATTGGAAACTTCCGTTACTACCCATGGGGACCAGGCTCGTTGTTCAATTCTTAGTAGACCAATGGCGAAGGTTTGTGGGACTCTAGCTACTGCATTTTAGAACGAAACAGCTCAGTTTTACTTCTATAGACTCTTCTTAAGAGCCTTCAGTGCGCCGTGATGTTCATTTTAGTCTGTGTTGCGTATTTTGTGAGTAATGGAATCCCGAGCGATCTGGCAAAAAATTCAAATAGCCTAAAAAGCTCTTACTAGTGAGTATTACCTTAAATAAATGTTATGTTGCACTGAAGGCTCTTAAGAAGTATCTATATAAGCAAAAACTTGCTTGCTTCATTCTGAAATACAGCTGCTAGAGTCCCACAAAGTTTCGCCATAGAGCCAATGCATTTGCTAAAATTTTATCAG